CTGTGTTTGAAACTGGTTGAGGACTTGTTACACAACTGCGTGGGAAACAGTTACAGAGCTGCATCCAATATTGATTGAAGTGTCAAAGGTCAGAGTGAGGTCGAAGAAGAGTCTAAGTGATATATAAATGGTGCAAAACAGAGTTACAAAGCAAGCCCTAAAATTTGTTTCAACAGAGCAAGCTGCTGTGTACGACTTTATGTGATGCTACTTTTTAAGTGATCTGAAATCCCTAAATTAGTTTGTAGATGTTGATGAACCTAAAAGTCCCTAATTTGGTGCAGCCATTGTATGTATGATGGGGTTGTAGCTGAGGTGAGCGAATAGGGCTCCCTGCAGTGTAGAATAGTAGCTGTTACGGCTGCTATTGCAGTGCTCTGAACTGCTACAGTTAAACGGTCTGCCACAAGCATTCAAGCGTGGCCAAGAGCTGCTTCACTCCACACTTGTGTGGTAACAGCCACTATTAGCAACCCTGCCCGCCAGCCTGTTCTTAAAGGTTAAACAGGTCGATTTGAATGAGTTATTGGCAGTAAACATATGTGCTGGTGGTTCCCTTTTAGATACGATCTGCTGCCCAAATGCATCTTTACAAATTTGAAATAATTATCTGGGCTTTGCTAATAACCTATGTATTAAACGTTGCAGACTATAAATGATCTTCTGCCCCTTATTTTTTTCTCTTGTTAATGTTACATTGTATTATAATAATAATAATAATAATAATAATAATAATTATTATTTAGATTTTCACAAAAATTAATTTATTCATTGTAGGTACTTGATAATCTTCCACATGATCTTATCTATTCAGAGAATCAAATTTCCTCATGGATGGAAGTCTGGGTCGAGAAGAAACATGACCGGTAAGTCTCAGCTTTGCATGTGGATGCAGATGCTGTTTCTACGTACACTGTGACATGTATACTAATGCTTCGTTAGGTAGTAGCTACAGAAAAAAAGGATGCTTCAAGAAATGTTTGAAATTATAACATAATTCTGTGGCCTCTTTTATCAAATCTATATCAATGACTTTCCTCCTTTAATAGAGAAACAATCAGCGAGTTATACAAGCCATTGCAAGACTCACTTATTACACGTTGTATTGAGATCATGGAGCTGGATAAAACCAAAACAACTCAAAGCACTGCAGTATCTACACTGAAAAGTATATGGTCTAAAGTTTATCCAAAACCGCGTAGATGTTGGCTACCAACTGGTTGCTTGGTAAGAGAGTCTTTAAATCTTCGTTACGTCTGGGATACAAATTGATTTTTGTATTTATCATACCTTCATTTTTCCAGAAATTACTTGAGGTTCTCCATGAGGTGCTACCAAAGATGTCTTTGATTGCTTCTGATTTCAGCTATCTGCCAGATGTGAAGATACCTGGTGAAAGAGCTCCATTGGTTTCAACTAAAGTAATTCTTGTTATATGTTTCCTGAACAATACAGCAGTTGTCTACTTTCTCATCTCACAAACTTTAGAGTGAAGATCTCATGCAGTAGTCCATAGAATGGAGTCTTTTATCCGTTTGCTTTGGGTATTTAGATCATTAATTCTACTCTTCACATGTGATATGATTCAGAAACAATATGTTCACTAGTTGTGAGAAACTGCGACTTGGGTGACCTTGTCATTTTTCTTTTCTGTCTAGCTCATCGTGCAATGTTATGTGTAAAAGGTGTATCATTGTAACTTTTCTACATTAACTGCTTAATGACAATTCACAATAGTAATCAGAATGGGAGAACCAGAGACTCTAAGTCCGCAAAACCTTTTTTTTTTTCTTTGCTAATCTTGGTACTGTAATTTGTTATGGCTAAGCTATTGATATATTAACCCATTGGCCCGTGGAGGAATATTCACACAGAAAGAAAACAGAACACATGTTGTAAACTTAAAATACATGGTGATAACCCAGCTTCTACTTATTCTATCTCATGGATTGTGTTAATGATTTGTATGGATCTGTATACAGAGATCACAAGTCATTATCATCCTTAGTAGTCACTCCTTTATTTTTCTACCTAAAAAATCAAACAGAAGCTTCTAATGTGTATTGATAATTTTAATTAACTGGGTTTTCCTTATGAATTGCAGAAAGATGGCTGCAGCTCAGATTATGAAAATTATGTGGAGGCAAAGGTTCGGTTTACCACTAGCTTCTCTTTTTTTCAATCTACTTTCCACCTCCTCACTCTCCACTTTGTGTCTAACTGCTGTTGTAGAAATGATAATTAGATACTGTATTTGTATCTTGAGACAATCTTGCTTAATTTAACACTATGTTTTTGAATAATTGATTAATAAATTATATGAAGCATTCTTAATTCGGTAACTGTAAAGACTCCAACATACTTGAACAATGCCAATTTGAACTTCCCAGAATTTTTTAAATTTAATAATGTTAATGAATAATGGTCTCTTTTTAGTCATTTTCCTCTACATTTCCCCCTCTTCTTCTTTTCCCCTTCTTTTATTACTTCTATATATATATATATATTTATATATTATATATATATATTATTACTATCTTATTTATTTATTTTTATTTTTATTTGTTTATCTTTTTTCAACTTTTTTGTATCTTTTATTTGGGTTCATCTACCACCGACCCCAATTAATTTGGGATAAAAGTGTAGTTGATGTTACCCACCATAGGACCTAGGAATTTTTTTGGATGCTTTTAATAAAAGAAAATAATACATTAAAAAGACGATTGAAATGAAAGTACATCTGAGGGAGGATAAGAAATTATCGAATAACAAAAGCCAAAGTGGCTCAGAAGAACAACCATGCTGCCTAATCCATTTTTTATCAGTCATAGAAAATAAGAAGTCCCTTGAAATAACGTAGGAACTGCTTTTTTGCATTGTCACTCTACCCTGAAGGAATCAATTTTCATTAGTCAAAATTTGCATGTTGGAGTAATTTATTGGTATCAACTCACACCCTTTTGTGAAGCACATCCTGAATGTTAGGTTAGAAGTTATAACGAATGGTCTAAATTACTAACATATTTCCTTGGTTAAAATGGCTGTTGAATCCCTTGGTAATGGAAAGAACCTGTTGCATTGGCAGCATAAATGGCATGATATAATGTAAAATTGCAATCCTATAATAATTTTCTTTAGAGTGCTGGATTTTGTGTGTTCATATAATTTTTATCCTGCAAGGTGCACTGATGTTTTAACATGATCCTTATATAAATGATTGGCCTGTCTCTTACTAATCACAAGTGATTAAAAAGTTCGGAGTTATAATTGGTATGCATCTTGGTTAATTATTAATTATTCATTATATCCAGGTCTTTTGTTGTATTCAATTCCAATTAGAAACTACTTAAGTTCAATGATTATTTGTGGTTATTTCATAGGAATACTAAACTAATTAAGCGGGCTGTCATATATAAGTGACGATCCTCTCACTGTCTCACAAAACAATTTCTTCCTGAACTTCCAAAAACTTATTTTTGTACTAAAGCTTACGTGTTTATCTTTTATTGCAGGGTGACGCTGATATCTTTTTTCCTACGGACTTTTGGCTTTTGGAACGAATTGATCATTATTGTTCTGGGTGGCTAAAGCTTCATGATGATCATTCATCGAAAAAAGGAAAGAAAAGGAGAACAATTAAGGTTAGTTCTTTTGCATTTTGTATATAACATTATTATCACTTCTCTGCACCCAAGGCCTCAAGCAAATGAGAAGCAAAAGTTGCAGTGGTGGGTTTCAAAACAAAACACTGCCAATGTGTATTCCATAACAGAGCGCATAGAATTCAATTTTCTTTCTTCTTATTTAATGCTTTTAAAAAGTAAATCTTATTAACATAAGACGTACATATAGAATAATAACGTCTTTTATAAAAGAATAAAATCTTAAAAGATAGTTTTCCATAATATCAATAACTGCAATAACTATAAGGGCAATCCCAATTGCACAAGAGAGTAGGGATAAGGGTCAGTTGGATGCAATATTACCCTTTATTTTTGCGAAGAGGTTGTTTCCTAAACTAATGTTGTGCAAGATACTGATTTTTCAGTAATATTAAACTAGAATAATCTATTTAATTATGAGTCATTGATATTTGTTTTGGAATATTTCTTTTCTAGTTATGAGACATAGCCCATATGTTTTGTTTCAAATTATTAGCAACTTTATGTACTCTAGCTTAATAGTTTGTTTGATGTAGCTGGAAACATCATCTTTCATGGAAGAGTTTGGTTTACCCACAAAAACGAGAACTAAGGATGGATACAACCCACTCTTGGATGACTTCAAGAATACCAAATTTTATCTTAGTGTCCCTACACACAACATTAAGTAGATGGTCGATAGACTCAATACAAGTACTTCCATTCACAAGGATGTGTCGCGGGAATTTTGTTGAGATTATATTATGTAAGTTACCTGGATTTCATCATTTGATGATCTATGAGCATAAATTAGTTTTTTAAAAATAACAATATGTGGTCATGTACCATCGATGGCCAATTTTCCCTTGGACATGTGACCCCCTACCCTCTGAAGCCCTAGAAATTGTATAATTTAATTGAAAGATGGAACATTTTTATTTATGTTTAAGAATAACACAAGTTGTGAAGATTGTCTTAATACCATAGGGTCATATTTTTATTTTTTTTTGGTAGGTCATTGGGTCGTATTTGTTAGTACATAGTTTTGTACACTGCAAGTTGTCACTATTGAATAGCAAGTATCAAGTGTGGAGAGAAATTAGCCAAAAGAGTGAAAGGATTGGAATTATCTGAATTTAGTTAGGCTTCGGGTTTGTACACTGCAAGTTGTTCGTCACTATTGAATAGCAAGGTTTTAAGTGTGGAGAGAAATTAGTCAAAAGAGTGAATCGATTCAAATAATCTGAATTTAGTTAGGCTTTGGGTTTGTACACTGCAACTCATCCCTTTATATATGACAATATAGGAAATTAAGTTCCAGTGCAACTGACTACACTTTCTGATCCCCAGAGCCTCTTCTAATCCTCCTGTATATAATATATGCTACAATGATCAATACCAAAAACAAAAGACAGAAAAGTGTTATGTTTTATATAAATAATTCTCAACAACTATGCTTGTAGAGATTAGGTTATATGTCTGCAACGAAAATTATTTTCTTTACCGGAACTAAATTAACAGAATTCACCTATTATTTTAATGGAAGAATATGCATAATATCTGTGTCTCGGGAAAGTGTTGCGCTGCTTAGAGTTGTCAATGAATTTGATGTAGAATATTCAGCCCAAGGTTGGTAGTCTTGAATGCCAGCAAGTTCAATTTCTTCAGGGTTTTGCTGTGCATTAGACTTCCTATCCAATCTTCGGATCTCTTCTAATTCCAAAGTGACTTCTTTCATAGTTGGTCGTTTTCTTCCATTCAACTCTAAGCATCTATTTCCAAGATTGGCAACTGCAATTATATGTTCTTTGTCCCCTTCCATCGTGACTCTCTTGTCAATAATGTCAAAAAGACGATTCTCTTCCATACTCTGAACAAAATATGAAGCTAAACTCTTGGTTTCTTCAGATATTGTTGAGGATATTGGCTTCTTCCCTGTTAAAAGTTCAACAAGAACTACTCCAAAACTGTAGACATCACTTTTTTCTGTCAATTGACTAGTTTGAAAATACTCTGGATCCAAGTATCCAAAAGTTCCTTGAACTACTGTGGTGAGGTGAGTAGCTTCAATGGAAACTATTCTGGATGCTCCAAAGTCTGCTACTTTTGCCCTATACTTTTCATCCAACAATATATTTGTTGATTTGATGTCTCTGTGATAAATGGGCTGAGATGTAAGCGAGTGTAAGTAAAATAGAGCTCCTGCAATTTCAGTGGCAATTCGCAAACGCATATCCCATGTCATTGGTAATACCTCATTCTCATCATGCAAATATTCGAAAAGGTTACCGTTAGGAATGAATTCATAGACAAGCAAGGGGATTTCTGTCTCCAAACAACATCCTAACAACCTAACCACATTTCTATGGTTAATTTGTGAAAGGATGACAAACTCGTTGATGAATTCTTCAACCTTTCCTTCGACCTTAAACTTTTTCACAGCAACAATTCTACCATCAACTAGCATGCCTTTGTAAACGGTACCTTGGCCTCCCTTTCCAAGAACTCTGTTCGTATTAAAGTTGTCAGTGGCCTTTTCTAATTCCTTTAAGCTGAAGAGAATAGTTTGGTCGACATTAACTTCACCAGAAGACATTCTTTGCTGTAACAACAGACCACCATTTTTTTTGAAGAATTTTTCTTTGCGTTTCTTTATCATTCTTTTCCTTACAACTTTATGCAACAACCATAGAACAAAAAACAAAATGATGGATCCGATGCTTGACAAAACTCCTACACATTTGGCACAGTAAATTAGGTGATTATAATTGTCCAATACAAATATAGATAAGCATGAAAATATAAATGGCATTTGTTATTCTTCATTAATGAGTTTGTGAAGTAATATATACCTACTATAGCCCTCTTCCTCGCTTGACTATTCGTATCAAAGAATCCTGATATAGCTGAAACGTCAACCAAATTAGATTATAGGTTAGAACTCTTGTATACATTTGTTGAGGTAAAATTGAATTTTAAAATAAATATAAAAAATCAACTAAACTATATTTTACAAAAAACATAAGTATAATTAACTTGTACTAATGTAAAAATAATAAATCCTACACTCAAAATTAATTGTTGATCCTTTTGCAGGCAGCTAACAACTCAAATCTATTAGTTATGTGTTGAGAGTATAATTTATATCGCTGTAACAATAAAAGTTTTACACTGAATATTAGCGTGGGTATACTATTTATCCAATGATTGTAATTTATTGACTTACATATAATAATAATTAAAAGTATATATCACCCCCAATGTGTGATGGTCACCATGGTTAAAATTTATTGACTTACATATAATAACAATAATTGAGTGATTGTTTAAATCCCAATGGGTCAAAATTGCAAATATATACAACTAGTGGTAGTTCCCATCAAGTGGTAGACACAACATAAGATAACACGGATTTCAATGCCTCACAACATGAGAAAATAATCTCCAACAACATGAGAAAATGATTTCTCATATATATATCTTAAAAATAATATATCAAATTGTGACGGTCTATTTATATACTAAAGATAGCCAAACAATTGAATAAGATATTTCTATTTTAAATTAAAATATGATAATTCAAGCTAGAATAAAATCCTTAAATAATAAATATTGATAAATAATCTCGAATCCAAAACCTAATTGCCAAATTAAAAACCTTACATAACTAATAAAACTAAAAGCATAACCTATATGAGCCAGTATCAAAATTTACCTGATAATAGAGTAGGTTGAAAAAAAAAAAGTGTTAAAAGAATGTAGTATTATCATTTATAACACGATTCTTAAAATAAACAAGAGTAAAAGATAATCATCAAGTAATGGAATAATAAACACATGTGAGTTGCAGAAACAGGGGTTCATACCAACACAGCCTCCAGTAATGTATGGATCGCCATAGGCGCCTAGGGAGCACTCACATCTCCAACCTGAGGGTCTGTACAATGAAGATGGAACGATAGTGCAGTTGGCACCTGCATGGTCGACTTTCATGGACGAGTTCAGAATCACCCAATCAAGCACCGCAGGAACATAACTCACATCCAAGTCACGAAAACTTCGATACTCGTAAGAATTCCCAAAGGGTACTCGGTACCAATATTCTGTTGCAATCAGCGCGTGACTACACTCATCACTCACGCTTCTGTTGCTCAGGTTTTCGAGTGTTACATTAAATTCCGAAAGATACTCAGGTAGTGATGTCTGGCAACAGAACCTACCAAGACAACCATCGCTTCCGAAGTCGATGTTATTGTTAACTTGTTCGTTGTCGTACTCGTCACAAACGGAAACGCACCCACTAACTTGTGATCCATTTGATTGCAAAAACGCAATCTTATTGCAACCAATGGCAGTGAACTTGTTATCATCCTTGGAAAACACGAAAGGGCTTCCTTTAAGGTCTATGATTGGCCGAGAATCTTTGCTTTTGCAGTTCCAACTGAAAACTGGATTCATGATGTTAACCTTGCTGTTACTGTCATCAATGGATGTCACTTCCAGATTTAGAGATTTCAGGTAAGGTATCTCACCTTGAGAAGTGTTTCTGCATTCTATTTCAAACCACTTGTCTGCATAGCATTTGGGATCACCTATTCCAAACGGGTAAGGTATCCCAATTCCACAACTGTAATAATCACAACCAGATTGTGTCGTGATTATATTCTGTGCAGATGCCAATGGATATATGAGCCCTACTATCATCAAAATGATTATGTGGAATGCAAATTGCACAACCATTGTCGTTAAAGGAAGGATAACACTTGTTGAAGCGCGTGTGTAACTCTGTATCTATAGCTATCTTAGCAATTAGAAGCATATATAAGAAATTTCTCGGGTATGTTCCCTACAAGTCAAAATTTTACTAGTAGTAAGAAGACTTGTGGCGGCTTGACCAATGTATATTAACACGTTTATTGAAAATTCTACAAACATACAAATTTTGAACGAGTAGAAACTACAGATAAGATAAAATTGAACGAAATTTCCTGATCGTCCTGTAGAAATAATCATTTAGGCTTTTATATAAGGGGTTTGCATTCATCATTTAACATGATCACAAAAAGTTTCCTACGCACATAACATTTTGTGGGGTCCGCACTTTTTAAAGCAAAATAAAAAAAAAAAAATTAAGGCACGCAAAACGAATCTCTATAACATTACACAATCACTTTTCCTACAATATAACTCTTATAAAACCCTTTATTATAATATCTTATAAATCTTTGTGGTTATTGTTTGATCCAAGGGGATCAATAATGTCAAGCAGGAGATTGGTAACGGCATAGTCAGAGCGTAGGGTGTGTGTACGGTGACAGCTAAAAGAGTATGAGAGCGTAAATCTGTATCTGATTGGTTTAACTCCTTATTTATAGATATGTTACTTAATAAATGCAGAGTACTGATCATAATATGATTGTTAGGGAGATTTATCCTTGGTAGGATAACAACCTTACTCTAATTCTCTTAGTTATCACTTATTGTTAGGCTGTTGGGATATGTGAGTAGATCCTTTAATGTATTAATTAACATGATCATGTTACGTGAGAGAATCCTAATTATACAATGGTGGATATGGTGGTAAGGAAAGAAAGAGAAAAAATATAAAGATATAGAAAGTTATTCAATTATCACCGTTGCTTTGGTTATTGATAGTTAAGATCCTTGATTTGGTTATTGATGATTAAGATCCTCTCATATGATATGATCATGTTAAATAACACATGAGATAATCTATTTCCGTTGGGATATGGACCCATATTATGCTATAAAAAGGTTTATCATTGTCAATGAATGAGACTTGAACTTTATAAAAATTTTAGTCGTTTGTCTATTTCTTTATAGGGAAATATTAATCCCATGTGACATGAGAGAATTTTTCTCTTATGCACTCATAACTTAGAGGAGAGAGGAGAAGAGAGAATAGAGGAGAAAAATAAAATAAAGAGTGGGCTCCACCCTTGATTTATGAGTGCATGAGAGAAAAATTCTCTCATGTCACATGAAAGTAATACTTCCCTTCTTTATATATTAGCATCATTTCCACAATTACGAATCCGTCACTATGTTCTTGAAAATTGATCGGGAAACGTCGTCCGTGGAAGTGTTTACATAAACTTTTGGTCCAACCTAAGGAAATTTTCGAGGTAAATACTTGAATTGAGATAATTTAGACTTACTTTTATGTCACATTTTGTTTTGACTTATTAAGTTGCCTTGGCCAAATGGGATAGGTGCTGATACTAAAAACAAAATAAGATGCTTAAATCGTGGTGGACCCAAATAATCAAATTCCCATCCGCGATTTCTGGCTGCTGTCTGGTTACTTAGGATATACGAAATTTCTTTAGGTGTTGTGTATGGACTACTGCCGCTCAACTCATCAAGGGAATACTTTTCTCTTCGGCTGTGTTTTGAGGCGTTTTGCTAACCATATTATAGTTTCCATTTCATATTTAAAATATTTGCATTTAACAAGTTTACTTATACTTTTGCATTTTTTAAGCATACTATTTCTGACTATAAAATATTTCATATAATCTTCTGCTGTTAAACCGTTGTTTCAGTCTCCACCCGAACTGAAACATAAACATAGGTGAGAGATTATTAAACGTAAGTATTACCAAACAATTCTTCCAAAAATACAAAGTTAGGCCAAATGCACATAAATAATTTTATATCTCAAACATATCCTTCACACCAGAGTCAATTGTCCTTTATGTTAGATAATACAAGAATCATTTATGATAAAATACATGAATAATTTTATTATATCTCTAATAATAGGGAAATAAATTTAAAAAAATTCACCTATTATCTTAATGTAAGGATAGGCATAACATCCGAGTCTAAGGAAAAGGCTCAGCTACTTAGAGTTGGCAATGAATTTGATGCAGAGTATCCACTCCAAGGTTGGTAGTCTTCAATTCCAACAAGAACAATTTCTTCATGAATTTTCTGTGCATTAGACTTGTTATCCAATCTCCGAATCTCTTCTAATTCCAATGTGACTTCTTTCATAGTTGGTCTTTTTCTCCCATTCATCTCTAAGCATCTATTTGCAAGATTGGCAATTGCAACTATATGTTCTTTCTCCCCTTCATCCGTGACTCTTTTATCGACAATGTCAAACAGACTATTCTCCTCCATACACTGAACAAAATATGAAGCCAAACTCCTGGTTTCCTTAGATATTGTTGAGGATATTGGCTTCTTCCCAGTTAAAAGTTCAACAAGAACTACCCCAAAACTATAGACATCACTTTTTTCTGTAAATTGACTAGTTTGAAAATACTCAGGATCCAAGTATCCAAAAGTACCTTGAACTACTGTGGTGAGATGAGTAGCTTCAATGGAAACTATTCTAGATGCTCCAAAGTCTGCTACTTTTGCCCTATACTTTTCATCTAACAATATATTTGTTGATTTGATGTCTCTATGATAAATGGGTTGGGATGTAAGTGAGTGTAAGTAAAATAGAGCTCCTGCAATTTCAGTGGCAATTCTCAAACGCATATCCCATGTCATTGGTAAGTCCTCATTTTCATCATGCAAATACTCAAAAAGGTTACCATTATGAATGAATTCATAGACAAGCAAGGGGATTTCTGTTTCCAAACAACATCCTAACAACTTAACCACATTTCTATGGTTTATTTGTGAAAGAATGACAAACTCGTTGATGAATTCTTCAACCTTTCCTTCGACCTTAAACTTTTTCACTGCAACAATTCTACCATCAACTAGCATGCCTTTGTAAACGGTACCTTGGCCTCCTTTTCCAAGAACTCTATTCATATTGAAGTTGTCTGTGGCCTTTTCTAATTCCTTTAAGCTGAAGAGAATAGTTTTATCAATATTAACTTCACCAGAAGTCAATCTTTGCTGCAACAACAAACCACCATTTTTTTTGAAGAATTTTTCTTTGCGTTTCTTTATCATTCTTTTCCTTACAAATTTACGCAGCTGCCATAGAAGGAGTAGCAAAATTATGGATCCGATGCTTGACAAAACTCCTGCACATTTGGCACAGTAAATTAGGTGATTATAATTGTCCAATACAAATATAGATAAGCATGGACCTATACTATTAATAAGTTTAGGATCCAAGGAAGAATAAATGGTATTTGTTTCTTTAGTAATGAGTTTGTGAAGTAATACATACCTATTATAGCCCTTTTCTTCGCTTGACTATTCGTAGTAAAGAACCCTGGTATAGCTGAAACATAAACCAAATCAGATTATGGAAAAACTATTTGTTATTTAAAAGGATGTAAGTAGTACATAGTTATAACATGAAAAGATTTTTTGTCTCTCTCCTCATTCACATCAGCTGATGTGGAAAGTGAAAAAAAAAACTTTTCATGTTATAATTATGTACTACCGGGAGTATATTGAGTAAAAAATTAAAAGGACACAACTTAATCACACACTATACCTTTATATTATAGGTTAGAACTCAAATGTATACATTTGTTGAGGTAAAATTGAATTTAAAAAGAAAAAAAAGAAGAAGGGGGGATTGGACGGAATTAATTAAATTTTATAACATGAATTTAGTAAGTATATATTAAACAAAACATGCTAAATGAGTATTAAATAAGTATACAAGTATTAGAAAAAATAGTAGACCAATATAGGCTGATTAATCATTTTGACCCAAATTTAAAATCAATTTATCATTTTTCCCTCTTCCCAAACTATTTTGAGTAAACACTTTCTTGAGTAAGTAACTATTTTACTCGAGTATGTTCTGGTCAATCACTGATTAAATAGATTGATATATATAGTTTCACAGTATCAACATGTTGGTATTTAGTTTGGAAAGAGGGCAAAGTAATAAATTATTTTAAAACTGGAGTAAAATTGTCAATCAGCATTATGTTAAACATTAAACCAAAGCTTTTGAACCAAAACAAAATAATCGTCGAAGTCAAACAGGAGCTGAAATTCTTTTCCAACTTAGCTTAATTAGCACCAGCACACTTCTTAGAGCTAGAAAAAAAAACATGTGATTCTAAAATGACGTTATTTTAAGATTTAAGAAAAAAAATTTGCAACAGAGAAAATTCATGTTGCATAAAAGCAAAATTTCCAAAACGGCTTATATTTTTTTTTTTCCATATACTTATCAAGTTATAAGATATTATAATAAAATAATGTAAATGAGTTGTTGTAGAGGGATCATACCTGTGCAGCCTCCAGCAATGTAGGGATTGCCAGCGAAGCCAAAGAAGCAGTTACATCTCAGACCACCTGAGGTTGTGTTTTGTGAAGATGTAACATTAGAGTCATAGCAGTTTCCATCTGAAGGAAGTTTTAAGATGGAATTGTTCAACATCTCGTTTAAGATCTCCCACTCAAGCATCGCAGGAACATAATCCATATTTTTCAGTTCACCAAATATCTGATTAGATGATTCAGATTCATAGATATAGTAGCTCTGGAGCCAATCGCCTCTTGCAATTAACGCATAACTACACTGATGACTCACACCTTCGTTCCTTAGATCTTCAACCGTTGCATTATATTCTGAAAGAGACAAAGGCAGTGAAGTCTCGCAGCAGTACCTGCCATGACAACCACCGCTTCCTTGGACAAAGCTATCGTAATTAACTTCTTCGTTGTCATCACAAATGGAAACACAACCACCAACAGTTGACCCATTTGACCTCAAAAAAGCAAGATTGTTGCAACCAACGGCTACAAATTTGTTGTACACCTGGGAATACACGAAAGGGCTTCCTCTCAGGTTTATAACAACTGGCTTAGCGCTTTTGCCTTTGCAGTTTGAATGGTAAATCGGATTCTTGATTAGAATTGTGCTTCGCTCTTCATCAATGGATGTTACTTCCAGATTTAAAGATTTCAGGTAAGGTTTCTCACCTTGAGAAGTACTGTTTCTGCATTCTATTTCAAACCACTTGCCTCCATAGCATTTTGGATCTTTCATCCCAAAAGGGTAAGGGATGTCAACTTCTCCACATGTCGAATCACAACCAGGTTGTGCTATAACAGAACCTTCGACAGATGCTAGTGTATATATGGGACGTATTATCAAAGTAATGATTTGAAACAGTGCAAATTGCAGAATCATTGTAGCTACAATTTTGAAGTGGCTGAGTATGTATCTGTATCAGTTTATTATAAGCAGCATCCATACTCTCTGTTATATAACCTTGTCAACATTAATTTCTTAGAATTTTTTTCCCACAAAAAGACAACTTTTGCCAGCTGTAGGAAGACTTTGTTGCAGCTTAATTGACCGAAGTAATTAAGAATCCATATACTCTAGATCTATTTATTATTTATTTATCTACAATATATTTAGGGAAAAGTGTTTCACTTTTATAATCACACATCATCTTCAAATATTATTCCTTGCACTTCATGATTATCTATTTTTTTAGTTTTATTTTTTTTTACCCTTTCGTCATTCTATACCCTCCAAGTTTTTGAAGTTGCAAGCACTCTTTATAAGGAAATGAAAAAAATACCAAAAATTTATGAATTAATCATAAAACAAAAAAAATTAAGTAAGACTCGTATAGTTAGTCTTATTTTATTATCTAGGTTATAAGCTTTAATTTCACCCAAAAAAACTAAAGAATATTATGAATGTAATTAAAAATACTGGTAGCAACTAATATTTATTAGTTGATAACACATATTAGAAAAAGAAAAACACATATTTTGTTGCATAAAAAAAATTAAAGGATTATTTAAATTCGCAAATAAAACTGATAAAATAATTGTTGCGAACAATTTATTCGGATCGAGTTTGTTTTATTTTTAAATTAATTTTTATTAAAAATGAAAACAATAAATATATCTTCTATTTTTATTTGCTTTTAGAAAGAAAAAAAAAAGAAAAGGGAAAAATAAAAGAAATTGACACCAGAGTCATTTATTGCTGCCATATTTGCTACGCAGAATTTGGTAATTTTGGCTCTTATAGGAACTCTCTTCCTCTCCTTGGAAAAAAGAAAAGCGTGGCAGATTGCAACGCTGCGAAGGAAATTTCGTGAAGGACCCCATTCCTTCACCTCTATTGTTGACTTTTTCTACAATTTTTTCCAACATGAAGTGAGGATGGCCCTATAATTTAGAAAGGAAGATAAAGTGATAAAATAAATTCAAAAAATGACAAAATGATCAATCAACTGAAAACGAGATTGTATATAAAATTCTGGTTATTAAATTGATTAGTCAAACTGATTAGACACTCGGAAGTTTCTTTTACAAAATTAGGAATCGGTCATTATGTTCTCCAAATTTGACCAAGAAACTCGGAAGTTTCTTTACTATGCATATACAATTTTTTTTTTTTTTTTTTTTTTTTTTTGGTAAATCTATGCATATACAATTTTGGTCCAACATAAAGAATATTCAATTTTCTTTACTATGCATATATGGTCATGTAAATATTCCCCAAGAGCCCTTATACTTAAGCATGAATATTGTATAGGTTCAATTTTTAGTTTAATTTGTATTTTATTTAATTCTACTAGAAAATATAAGATAGTGAGAATCGAACACGTGATTTTGTGGTCACTGAAGTTCTGATATCATATAAAGAATTAATTCAACCTAAAAATGTGATGACTTTTTTTAATAATTTATATTATTCTATCAACTAGTTCCGACAATAAGGAGAGACATAATTGTTGAAAAAAAATCAGAAAAACATTTAAAAAAAAATATATTTATCATTACGGACTCACCTGCTAAAAGAACTAATTCACATTATGCCTTATAAGTTGATGGGGTTTGTTTTTCTCATGTTGCATGAGAAAACAAATCCTTCCTACACATATTAGAAAAAGGCGTGCCACTTTTTTTTTTCATTTTTTTTAAATAGGTAGGTCTCACACTTGATGTATCTATGATATGAGATTAAGATTTTCCTATAACATAAGATTTATTTTTCCCTAAGTTGATATGTATAAATCATATACATTAATCTAAATAATTATATATTAATTAGTATCATTATCCATCACTAACCCTTCAAGTTGGTATATGTAAGTCATATGTACTTATGCTAAACGAATCAAGGGCCTTTCAGGGGTCTTTAATTCAGCTCGTGAAGGCTTGAGCTTATATGTCTAAAATTGATTGTTGTAGTTAGACTTGAACTTGTATAAAAGCTCATTTAATAAAAAAGTCACAGGCTTCAATTTAAAAGTCCGGCCTTAGAGTCTCTCAGACTGGCCTAGTATACTAACTTTTATTTTTATTTTATATTTTTTATATTACTCATAATAGCCCTATCTATCTTCAACCCATTTCATCCCATTTTATTGATTATTAAACATATTTTTTGAATATTTTTGTTCCATATTATGCTGTTTGGATATACATTGAATTTATGAATCTTTGTAGAATTATTAGTTCTATTGATCCTATATTTTGTTTGGATAAATTTTTGTTGTCTTATTTTTTGAGTAAATACATTTTTTTGTCCCTAACAAAAAACACGGTCCCCACTTTAGTCCCTTACAAAAAAAAATAGTCAGTTGGTCCCTAACGAATTCAAAGTGAACCTATTTAGTTGAAATCGTGGTCCCTCACAATTTCAAAAAAGACCCATATTAGTCCCTCAAAAGGACTAAAATGGGTCCACTTTGAATTTGTTAGGAACCAACTGACTAAATTTTTTTGTAAGGGACTAAAGTGGGGACCGTGTTTTTTTTAGAGACCCAAAATGGTATTTACTCATTTTTTTAACAGGTTAAATCAGGTTTTTATTTTTGGTAAATAAGTCAGACAACAAGCTGATAATTATTTTCATAACAGGTAACATGCTAGGCCATACTGACACATTTAAATACAAATTTAACCTTTTAAGATCAAAGTTCGGCCCGTTAACACCTCTAGTCATATGTACCAATCTAATTATAAAAATAACTTATGATTAATGACTTCTTAATAATTTAGTGACCAAAACATTCATAAGTTGATGATGTGAATTGAAAAAGTTTGTAGTGATATCTTCAAATAAGATCTTTTCCCAGATAATATATATAACAATCTATCTGAATATATTTGATCCTCTCATGAAAAATAAGATAAGAGCTATAGCTATATACTGTGTAGGGGTGTTCAAAATGTCCAAAAGAACTAAACCGATCCATAACCAAACTGCTTCACATTTTAAAAAGATGTTATTTTTAAAAACCGATTTCATATAAAATTGCATTTTATTTTATAAACTGGTTATTTACTAAACCATAAAAATAATTGGTTATCCATGGTTATCCATAACCAAACTGCTCTGCAATTAAAGAACAAATAAGTATTATCTTTTGTCATGCTTATTATATTAGTCAATTGACTCAAACTTCCAAACAATAAACTAGCAAAAAAAGTTAAGCAGCTCAAGTAGAAAATATTTATTTAAAACAAAATTACACATAAATCAAACATGTTGCATCTTAAGAAAGCACTTCTTATGTAACGTAACAACTTTTTTTCCCAAAAGAAAAAACCCAAATGCAGGCCTTCGGTGAAACTCATAACTTGGCATGGCGAAGGCTTTGAAATGACAAAGATGAAGTTAAAAAATCATAACGAAAAGGGAAACAAAATTAATCAATTGGCTTAATGTCTCTGAGAGCACCGTTAAAAGGACAACTCACAATGGATTTACTTGTTCTTTAATCATAGAGCAGTTTGGTTATGGATAACCAATTATTTTGATGGTTTGGTAAATAACCAATTTATAAAAATAAAATACAGTTTCATATGAAATCGATTTTTAAAAATAACCAATTTTTAAAATGTGGAGCAGTTTGGTTATGGATTGGTTTAGTTCTTTTGGACATTTTGAACACCCCTACCCATACCTTCCTCCATCAGTTCAAATGAAACTCTTAGTAACATAAATCTTGAGAGAACGAAGAGCAATTTTTTTTTTATAATTTTAAAATAATTCAACTGTTCTTCTACCAACCACTCTCAAAACAACGTGAAACAATTTCTATAAGAATCATTTCATCCGGAGAGCTCCAAAACAATGAAGATTCTTGCAAGAAATAGTTGGTCAACTATCTATAATCGAAAGAAACAAACGACTACTTATAAAAATAGCACAATCCATCAAAAACCGATTTTGAATTTGTTAAAAATTCGATTTTGAACTTGATAACCGATTTATGGTTCATAACCGATTTTGAATTAAAACTGATTTAAAACCGGTTATGGAACCGGTTTCAAACCGGTTTTGGAACCGGTTTCAAACCGATTTTGGAACTGGTTTAGAAAATTAAAAATCAGTTTTTTAAAAAAATCGGTTCGGTTTAAAAATCAAATCGTTTAAAACCGGTTTGATTCGATTTTTGTTAAAATCGATTATGAACCGCAGCATGCACACCGTAATATTGATTATTGATTATCTTATGCAAAGTAATCGCATGCTCATCCCGAAAAGAAGCTCTTTTCGTAATTACTTAAACAAACTTGTGGTTGAGTGTTTGATGCAAGAGATGTTAAAATAAGTCAACACGGAACGAAATGTATGCGCCAAAGCTAACATTTTATGGCCTGTAAGTCCAGAAAAGTAATAACAATTAATAAAATTATTAAGGTTTTATTTTTTAAGTTTACCTAAATGTCATTTTAAATATTGTAAGTAATAATTAATTTTAAATATTTCAATATAAACTAATTAAGTATTTTAATAAAATTTAATCAAATAAATTTATGAAAATTATTGTATTTAGATTCTAGTTATATAAATATACAAAGAAAATATAAACAATCCATGTACATTTGAATTACACTATGCTCAAAATTATAATTTAATCACATTTGCCTGCGTTGCATTAGGCTCGAGTTACGATAAGTTGGTCCATATGAGCCAGGTAACCCTGAATTGACACCTATAGTGATGTCATGACTTGGTATTTTGCTTGAACTTTAATCTTGTGACCACATTTAATTTTTTTACTTTTTCATGATATCAAATTTCCTCAATTAGGTAAACAATACCTAAGTGGATTGTTGTAGCGAGAATTTGAGAAATACTGAACGGAAAGGAGAAAAAGAGAAGGGAAAGGGAAATTTGGGAAGGAGAGGAAATAGAGAGAGAATTCAGACAATTTTCTTCATACCCATTTCATTAT